ATCATGTTTTTGTAACTTGTCATAAATATTTTTATCAATTATGATTTTTTTGAAGCGATAATGTGGTGTTGCAAAGAATAAAAAATATAGTTGCCGGTCATTACATTGGACCTTGGTCGATCTACTCGGAGGTTCTAGCCGACACCCGTGAGTTTTGGTGGCGGATGTTCAAGGTAAAAATAAATGATATTTCTCACATTTTAGATACTTAAATTTAACAAATGATATCAATTTTTTAATGAAGACCCAACATCGATGGCATCCATCGCAAGACACCGCTATTCTCAAAGAATACAAATCCAGATTCTCGGGGTGGTTGAGACCCACTTTTAGGACTGCCCGGAATAAGTGTAAAAAGCCGGAATTCCTTGGCGATGATGTCTGGAAGGACCTCGTTCATCATTGGTCTACGGATCCGGATTTTTTGAAGAGAAGCCAATCCGGCAAGGCAAACCGGAACTCCAAGAGAGCCAAAGAGACAATGGCACGGGGGCCGCAAACCTCAGGATCAACATAAAAAAGATCTTGTAAATTCTACTTTCGTGAAAATTATTTCCATTACATTGCCTCATATGTATATATATTTCTTTTTAAATAACTTGAAACCCGTGTAGAAAGGGTCAGGACCCTCGAAAAAGAGAGTGTCACCATGGCAACTTATCATAAATTGTTGGGATCTGCACAGTGCTGAGTCATCGTTACCACCTCGCCTCTCCGAACTTGAAGTAAATAACGCAACTTCAATTATCAATAAATTTCGATTTTCTTATCTTGATTATAATAAATTTTTGAACTTGTAGAAGAAGTATGAGGAAGAGCGAGGAAAGAAGGTCATGGAGAGTGCTGATGACTCCGATGCCGATCTTGACGAGAGTCAAGATGATGATGCCATCTTGGTGGCCACTGGAGTTTACAAGGGCCGGGTGCCGTTCATGGGGGCTGAAGGCATACAGATCTTGTAAAACTCCAAAGGAGCAAGCTCATCTTCTCATCAAGTGAATGATGAACGGGATGAACGGATTGCCCTCCTTGAGCAACAATTGGCGCAACAATTGGCGGAACGGGCGGAAGAGGAACATAGAACTAGAGAACGGATGGTTGAGTTTGAACGTCAAATGAATCGTTTCAACGCCACCTATCGCTCTATCATGCACATTCAGCAACCCGAGATGACCCCTCAAATTTCCTTCATGGGTGGCATGGGCAGCATGGGGTTCGGCAATTATAGCCATCTGTCCAATAATTTTTCATATTCTTATTATGATCAACCGTTTCAAACTCCCGAAGGTCACGGCAATCGAGGGGGCAGTCGAGGAGGTGCCCGTGGCGGCAGGAAACCCGAACAGCCCGGACATCTTGGTGATGATGATAATGATTGATGGATAGTGTACCCGGGGGTAGCTTATCCGAGGGGTTATTACGGGGAATAACTAGAGAGAAGTCAGAGCAAGTAAGTATAGAGAGAGAAAGTATATTAGAAAGTATTCAGCGTGTTATGACTTGTGACTTGGTTGCAAATGGGGAAATGGGGTGCTATTTATAGTAGCAATAAATGCCAGACAGGGACACGTGTCAAGCGTCCATTGGCCGAGAGGTCACCTCAACTGGTTGGCGCTGGCAACCGCATGTGGCCGTATTTAATGCGGCTGTTGGATGGGACGTTGTACAGGGTACGGTGATCTGTACGCATGTGACGCAGATATCATGTCGGGAAAGGTTCCCTCGGCTGTAGAGGACTAGCCGAGGGCTCTGAGTACCGGGGACCCCCTTGGTGCCGAGGGCTCCAGGTGCCGAGGGCTACTGATTTTCGCCGTTTTTCCCAGTAACTTTGTTTTGCTGTCTTGGCCCTCCTGTGAAAGTTAGAGCCTTCGGCCAGGGGGCCGAAGGCACCCCTGGTGCGCATTTGTGGGCTGCTTGGTATCTTGGGTGCCGTGATTTGGGCCTGTTGTGTTTCCTGGGCCTATTGGGCCTTTATTGGAGTAGTAGGAGTCTGTGGGTCGGGGGTTCCCGGGCCATATACTCCATCAGGAGTCCCTCACTCCTTTTGCCGAAAGGTACTTGAGGTAAAAGGAGTAGTTGTGTTTGTCCTCTGCCGTTGTTCCGTTGTAGTTTTGTAGAGTTGTGGGTAGTTTGCTGTTTGTTTATTCTGCCGAGGGCAGTCCCTCAGTTACCCACATGTCGGGACTTGAGGGGTCATGTTTGTGATTTTTGTGATTTTCCCGAGGGGGTCCTCCAGTCCCCCACTCCTTGAGGCACTTGCAAAGTGGTGAAAAGGAGTAGAGTAGTCGCGTTGCTGTTTTGGGCCGAAGGCTGACGCTTTTCGTTTCATTTTGGGGGGATGCCTCGTTAAAAACCTCATTAGGAAAAACCCTATGGGAAAAAATCCTAATGAGGGAAAAAGAGTGCACCGAATTCCCCCAACGATGAATCGAAAATGTGAAACCTTGGTTCGAAATGGAGAATAATGATGATGCCGAAGGCTTTCCCTGTTCTGAGGGCTCATGTGTTGATTAGCCGGAGGCTTGTTGTTGATGTCCTGGGAGGTGCCGAATGGGGGTCCCTCAATCTGGGGATCGAGGGCGTAATGAATGAGAGTAGTAGTTGAAGTGTTATCGGGGTGTCCCCTGTTTGTTGATTAGTTGGTGAGGAGGATATCCAAGGGCTCCTGTAACCTGTGTGCCGTAGGCTGCCCGTCAATGAGGCGCATTCCCCGGGGGCTACCCGGACCTCAAAGTGCTGAGGGGGGATCCCCGAGGGGTAGCCTGTTATGAAGCCGTGGGCTTCTGAAGGAGTGAGCCCGAAGGCATTTGTTATGTAGTGTGTGGGGCACAAACCGGGAGTGTCTCTGGGTAAGTGTACCCGTGGGCTCTTGGTGATGAAGTGGAGTGAAGTGAAAAGCCTGGGGGCTAGTGTTTCTTGGTTGATGAAGGAGTGATCTGTCAAGTGTAGCCGGGAGCTCCCAGAACATAGCCGTTGGAGATATAGCCGTTGGAATATCTAACGTCAGAATATAGCCGTTGGGGGATGCTGCCACGTGGTGTGCGCTCGTTGGCTGCCCGTGGGCGGGCGTCTCCGATTGGGCGAAACCACGGTTTGTAATGATGGCAGTCCAACCGGAGGCCCGGTTTCCAGGCCCAAGCCCGGATCCCAGCGCCTATAAATACCCCATGGCCGGCTTCACTTCCCATGTGCGATTTACCCGTTAGCGAAGCTCTGCCAAAATTCCTAGAGAGAGAAATAGCTGCCTTCGATCAATCCCCATTTTTAGGTCAGTTCCCCATCTGTTCTTCTCACTCCTTAGCTAGGTGTAGCGGCCTTAGTTCTAGGAGTTGTACCTTAGAAAACTCTAGTGTTTCCGAGCCCTCGAACTAGTGCAAAGATGTCTTCCCAAAGTGATTCCCAGGACATCTCGGGGGCGCCCTCGATGGAGGATGAAGTCATCCGGACGTGGAGTCCACAAGCGAACAGCCCTCATCAGGACAAGACGTTGTCGTCGCAATGGAGTTGTAGAAAGCCCTCGTTGCTGAGGCGGAAGCCGAGGGCTTCGAACAAGAGTGTGAAGACGAAGAGCTGTCCCTCGCCTGGAAAGTAGCTAAGGAAGAGGCGCAGAAAGAGGGCGCGAGGGTCACTGTTGTTGTTCTCCCCCCTCGGGGCACTGGCGAGGCCAGCACCTCTCGGCCGCTGAACGCGGTTCCCATCCGGGTGGCCCCCGGAAAAAAGAAGGTGAAGGTTGCTGCCCCCAAGAAGAAGGGCAGCGTTGCAGACCAAGTGAAGCCCCTCGATATGCCCGAGGGGTATTCCTACTTGAATACCGCCGCCTTAGAGATAAGGTCGAAAGCTGATGCGGCGGATCTTTATGTCACTCAATTACACGTGGGCCCCTCGGCCATCGTGGTGGCACCGGGTCCCGATGACGTCCTCTCTCGGGCTCCCGAGGGCTGCATTGCGGTGCACATCCTCTCCGTGTCGATGGGGCTCCGGTTCCCCCTACACCCCTTCCATCCGGGAGTACCTCCGGTTCGTGGGTTTGGTCCGCTGCCAACTGACCCCGAACAACCATTCCTACATCACGGGCTTCCTCCAGCTCTGCAAATCCCGGGGGGGGGGGGGGGGTAACACCTAGCCTGGATCTCTTCTTCAAGAGCTTCAACCTGTGCCGGGGGGCATGCGAATGCCGAGGGCTTCGCAAACTTGCAGCAGGTGGCCCTGTTCAAGCTTTTTACTGAGGCGCCCTCCTCGAACAAAGGGTGGAAAGACCGGTGGTGCTACGTGAAGTTGACCGAGAGCCCCTTCCCGAGGGAATTGCGTGACCGGTTTAGGAGGCATGAGAAGAGGAGGAGCGCCGCCCTCGAGAAAGATGGCCGGATCCTGGCAAAGATCCCGGAGGGCCGAGACAAAAACATAGCCATCAAGGAGTGCACCCAAGAGGAGGATCTCTACACCCTCGGGTTCCGACGGTATCGCTTCCTGGGGGAAACAGATGAGAAGTTCCCGACATTTGAGGGAGCCTCCGGAGGTAGTGGCTGAGGGCACCCTCATTTTCGTATCTTAGCACATAGTTTGTTTGTGGTTTGTTTCTTTTTTGTGCCATCTGTTAGTGACCCCTCGGTTTTAACCCCATATTGTTTTGCAGGTATCCCAGTCAACATGATGAACGTCAGGGGGCTCGCTGATTTAAAGAAGAAAAAGTCCTCCAAGGCCCCGAAGGGAATGGATGCTGGCGTCCCAAAACCCGCCGGTGACTTCTTCAAGAAGCTGGAGGGGCCGTCGGCGGCCCCAAATACTGATGTTGCTGCTGCTGCCAAGAGAAAAGTTGCGGGCAAGGCTCCCGAGAGCAAAAAGCCGAAGACCGGGGATGCCGGGAAGAAAGGTCCCCCCGTGGTCATTGTTGACGATTGCCCCGCCTCCGGGATGCACGAGGAGATGACGGTGGCGGAAGTGCCAGGGGTGTCTGGGAGCCATCTTCCGAGGTCCTGACGGTTTCCCTCCCGGTAGGTACGGCCGTGATGAATTGCACGGCTGACCCGAGGGTGCTTCTGAGGGGTATGACCCCTGAGATTGACAGAGCAGCCCTCGGGGCTGATGATGATCAAGCCCTTAAGGACAAGATCCTCCGGTCTTCCCTCACAGTAAGTTTTTGACAGTTTACCGTTTTTACTTTGTGCTAGGAAATAATGTACGGCCTTCCTAACTTCTTTATTTTTTGTAGACCTGCATTGCCCTCGGAGAGCAGGCCCGGAGGCTAGAGGAGTGGCGTCTTCGCAAAGCCGAGCAGGATGCCAAGATGCGGGAGCTCATCCGCCAGAATTCCGATGCCATCCGGCAGATGGCTATGCTGGAGGAGAGCCTTCGGCAGATGACCCTGTGGGCGAAGGCCGCAGACCGGGGCAAGGCCGAGGCTGAGAGGTCCGCAGCTGAGGCCCTTGAGAGAGCTGCTAGGGAGGCCGAGGCCGCCAAGGCGGAGGCCGTCGAGAAAGCCCGAGGGGACGCCATCTCTTGTTTCTTGGCAGGGGGGTGGCGAGCAGAGGAGCACAAGCAATGGCTGTCCTCGGTCGTCGAGTCCTCGGTCGACGAGTGGTGCGATGGGCCCGGTGTGGAGTGGGTTTCCCGAAAGGGTAAACAGTACTATGATGGGGGCGAGTTTTTCACTCAAGCCCTTATCTACCGGAGGGTGGCCCGCCACCTGAAGATTGAGCAAAAGGATTTTGACCCGGCAGCGTACAGACTTCCCCCCTGCAGCCAGATGTCCGTGTTCCTCTCCCCTCCGATGTCGAGAGGCCAGACTTGGAGGATACCGAGCTGATGAAGGAGGCCGAGGGTGACGAACCTGAGGCCGGTACATAGGTTACTTCAAAGCCTTCGGAGGAGACGGCCCCCGGGGATGTTAATTTGTAATTTCTTAATTCAACATGTTTTGAACAATCCCGTTGTAATGAATGCTTGTATGCCCTCGGCCTTCGGCCCCCTGTAATGTACATTTGAATTTCTTTTCTTTGATGAATGAGTACATGCCTTCGGGCTTTTGGTATATAATGTGTTTCCCTTGACCGTTTTTCTTTGAGTGTATGCTCCCGTTTTTTTTGAATGTATGTCTTCGCCCTTCTTTGAATTTATGCCTTCGCTTTTCTGAATGTATGTTTAGGACTTAGAATATATTCTTCCAAATGTAGTGCCTCTCGTAGCCCTCGGCTACTAGTAATCTTTAGTCAGTTGAACCTTTCACCGAGGGTGCAATGTTCAGGACTTAGAAATATTTCTAAGTGTTTGTTCATCTGTTGGCCCCCGGCTAATCCTCCCCTCCGGTTCTATGTAGCCTTCATGAGATGACCGGAGGCGAGGTGTTTAGGACTTAGAAAATCTCTAAGTGTTTGGATATCGCGTAGCCTTCGGTACGTGGATACCCCTCGCTGATTGGGTGCATGACCGAGGGCCCAGAAATAGTTATGACTTAGAATATCTTTCTAAGTATACTTTTGCCAAGTCCTCATCCGTACGGCCCTCGGGATGTATGGAGATTTGACCGAGGGAAAGAACTTTTGGGACTTAGAAATTTTCCTGAGTGTAGCATGTATGAAGTAGGAGCCCTCAGGCAGCATGGAGATTTGACTGAGGGTCAAAATATGTAGGACTTAGAAAATTTTCTAAGTGTAGCTTCACTAAGTCTTCAACCGTATGGCCCCTCGAGCAACATGGAGATTTGACCGAGGGTCAAAATATGTAGGACTTAGAATTTTTTTTCCAAGTGTAGCTTTACCAAGTCTTCAACCGTATGGCCCCTCGGGCAGCATGGAGATTTGACCGAGGGCCAAAATATGTAGGACTTAGAATTTTTTTCCAAGTGTAGCTTCACCAAGTCTTCAACCATATGGCCCCTCGGGCAGCATGGAGATTTGACCGAGGGCCAAAATATGTAGGACTTAGAATTTTTTTTCTAAGTGTAGTATGTGTGAAGTATGGGTGCCCTCGGGTGACTGTGAGGGCCCTCCGGCTGTATATGTCGTAGGTTCAGGATAGTTTCCTTTGCCTTGTGATGTTGGCTTGTGGCAATGAATAACCTTCGGTTGTTTGTTATGTCCCCCAATGTTGCTATAGGAGAGTTTGTAGTCCAAATCTAGCATAAAAAGGCAGACTCCCTCGGGAACTGTCTGGATGTGTCCCCTCAGCATGTAGTGAGGTGCCGGAGGTGATTTTTGATTTGGTTTGGCCACATCTGATAGCTTTGTCATATAGTGCCCTTCAGGGACGTTTTGAGTTGTTTGAGCCTTCGGTTTTAGGTATAGCCGGAGGTAATCCTTGAGTGGAATTAGCCATTTGTTGATGATGTCTGTGTTGAATGGTATCCTTGGTACTCATGAGCATCCAGGTACCGGAGGCGTTCCCGTGGGGAGCCCTCGGTATGTTTCTGTGAATTGTTGGAGTGATGTACTCATTGATTTCTCGCCGAGTCTACTCCCCTTCACCACCCCATTTTTTTTTGAGTAGTGAAGGGAAGGCTTCAAGAAACTTGGTTTCTTGGTAAGGCTTGGCCTATCGGGAGGTAACAGAATACACCATTAGCTCCCCCCTCGGGTTAACCTTCCGAGTTCCGAGAGGATCGAGGGTCATTTCCTGGGCACAAGATATGGTGGTCTGGAGCTTGCCTCCCCTTGGGGGATGGCGCGGAAAGCGCCTCAGTTTTGAAAGTCGTCCCCTCGGTGCTAGACATAGTCCGTGGCCTGCCACACCCATGGGGTGGTGGCGCGGGGAGCGTTTCGGTTTGGAAGTCGAATCCTGGGCATTTCTCGTGCCTGTCATACCCTTGGGGTGATGACGCGGAAAGCGTTCCGTTTTGAAAGTCGAATCCTGGGCATTTCTCATGCCTGTCATACCCTTGGGTGATGACGCGGAAAGCGTTTCAGGGAAGGGTTTTCATTTGCACACTGGTTGCAAATGGCCGGGTGCACTACGTGCTGCCGGCACTGAGAGGTGGCGCCTTCGGTATAGGCGTCCTCGAGGGGTACGGCTTAGGAAACAACACTTGGTGTTTGTTCCGATGTAAGGCCCCCGGCACTTGGTACCGAGGGGTCTTCTGTAAAAATAGTTGGTGTTTTTCCTTCACTTGTCGTAGGGGGACTGTGGTGTCTACCCTCGGTACTTGGTGTAATACTTGAGATTTAATTTAAACGGATTAATAGTACTACTCATACCAACAAGATGCATCTCCTTTTAAGGGAGCTCATCACCAAGAACTCCAAAGTTAAGCGTGCTTGCACGGGAGTAGTCTTGGGATGGGTGACCCCTTGGGAAGTTTCTCAGGGCGCGCACCAGTGAGGACAAAGTGCGCGGAAAAGGCTAGTGGCGGTTTGTGAGGACAGTACTAGAGGTCAGAAGTAACTACCTCGGGGCCTACGGGGCCGGGGTGTTACAAATGGTATCAGAGCAACCCTGCGACAGTGTGCTGATCCGTTGGATATCGGGCGGCCACTTAGCAGGGGAAAAAGATTATGGGATATGATTGAGATTGGTTTATGGGCGCAACGAGGACGTTGTGTTCCTAAGTGGGGGTGATTGTAATACTTGAGATTTAATTTAAACGGATTAATAGTACTACTCATACCAACAAGATGCATCTCCTTTTAAGGGAGCTCATCACCAAGAACTCCAAAGTTAAGCGTGCTTGCACGGGAGTAGTCTTGGGATGGGTGACCCCCTGGGAAGTTTCTCAGGGCGCGCACGAGTGAGGACAAAGTGCGTGGAAAAGGCTAGTGGCGGTTTGTGAGGACAGTACTAGAGGTCAGAAGTAACTACCTCGGGGCCTACGGGGCCGGGGTGTTACACTTGGTACCGAGGGGTCTTCTGTGGAAACACTTGGTGTTTCTCCCCGATTGTTGAAGGGGATTGTGTTATCTACCCTCGGTACTTGGTACCGAAGGGTCTTCTGTGGAAACACTTGGTGTTTCTTCTCATTTGTTGGAAGCTGCTAGTGGCGTGTCCCCCGGCACCAGGTGCCGAGGGGTTTCCTTGTGGGGACAGGTGGTGCTTTGTCGTAGGTGATAGTATTGTCTACCCTTGGCACTTGGTGCCGAGGGTTCTTCTATTGTGGTGAGGCCTTGGGCCTGGGGGTGATATGAGGGCTTGGCCCTTGTGATAATCTTGTTCCGTGTTCTCGGTGTCTTCAAAATGCCTTCATTCTTCAGAATTCTTAGGCCTTGGGCTGTAAAATAATATATTCACTAGTTATGAGGGCTTGGCCGCTCTGATGTTATTGATAAAATTTAACAAAGTGATGTACATTCCAGTGTCTAGGGACTTCAGTCCCGTTAGGGCGTTTTAGCTTGTAAGTTCCGGGTTTGATGATGGCTGCCACGATGTAGGGGCCCTCGAACTTTGGTGCCATCTTTCCGCCCTCGGTTGGTTGGCTAGCTTCCCTTCTTCGGAGAACATAGTCCCCCACTTGGAATTCCCGGGAGCGAACCTTGGCATCAATGTAACTTTTCACTTGCCTTCGGTAGTTTTCTGCGCGTATGAAGGCTTGCTCTCGGCGCTCTGAAATAAGGTGGAGATCGAGGGCCATATTGGTGTCGTTGGCCTCCGGATCATACTGTGTGACCCTTCGGGTTGGGAGAGTTACTTCAGTGGGGGTTTGGCTTCAAATCCGTAGCAAAGGGAGAAGGGTGTCTCGCCAGTCGCCCGCCGAGGGGTGGTACGGTAGGCCCATAAGATGTTGTGGAGCTCTTCTACCCAACCACCTCCTTCGGCCTCCAGCTTCTTTTTTAGGCCCTCGAGCAAGGTCCTGTTGACGTTCTCCACTTGACCGTTGCCCTGAGGGTAAGCAACGGATGAGAAGGTGTGTTTGATGCCCCATGCCTCTAGGAGGGCACAGAAGGGGGCTGCCTCGAATTGAGTCCCGTTGTCGGAGATGATTTGCTGAGGGACGCCAAACCTGGTGAGGATGTTTTTGAGAACAAAATGACGGCACCTGGCCTCAGTGATGCTGGCGAGGGTCTCCGCTTCCACCCATTTGGTGAAGTAATCGATGGCGACAATGATGTACCTGTTGTTGGAGGTACCCCTCGGCAGAGGGCCCACCAGGTCTATGCCCCATCGAGCGAAAAGTATGGATGTGCTGATGGGGGCATAGTTGACCGCTGGCCTGCCGGGGGCTTTCTGGAAGTGTTGGCATGCGGGACACCTCCGGGCAAGGTCTGCACAATCCTGGGCCATCGTAGGCCAGAAGTAGCCCTGGATTATTAGCCTTCGGGACATGGAGAAGGGTCCCTGGTGAGCTGAGAAAGTGCCACTGTGTACTTCCTCCATCGCCACTTCGGCTTCATCTTGATGAAGGCACCGAAGTAATGTCCCGTTATAGGACCTTTTGTAAAGCCTCCCGTCTTCGATAATGTAGCTGGGAGCCCTCAACTTTGCCAGCTTGGCGCGGGCCTCATCCTTGGGCAGTTGCCCTGTGGTGATGAAGGCAACAATGTCCGAGATCCAGTCCTCCTGTCTTTATTGTATATTCATGACGGGGCTAGCATGTATACTAGAGAGGCTGAGTTCTTCCACTTTGGCAATCTTCGAGATATGCTCAGGGGATTCTGCCGAGAGCTTTGATAAAATGTCAGCCTCAGAGTTCTGAGCCCTCGGTATTTGAGTAAGAGAGTGTGCCTCAAATACCTTAAGCAACTCCTTGGCCGCCTCCTTGTATTGCTTCATTCTCCCTTCCTTGGCTTCGTACTCCCCGGAGA